AATATTATTTATATAAAAAAACGCCTACATAAAACATTGTAATGTCTTGTACACTAAATAAGTCCCTTACACGTCACATACAGGTCAATCCTACTTCCCGAGGCAGCTTTAGTAGAAGAGAAAAAAACAGTATTGGGCCCAATTCTATTTCTGGTCTATATGAACAACATTACACAAATTAATAACTTATCTGGGAATATCATATGCTATGCGGATGATACGGTAATTATTTTCGCTGGAAAAGAATGGCAAGAGGTTAAACTCACTGGAGAAATGGCCCTGAGAAAGATAAGTTCATGGTTAAATACCAATCTACTAACTTTAAATGTTTTGAAAACAAAATGCATTAGTTTTAGTTCAACCAACGTTAACCAACCTAACAGCTTTTGTTTAAATTGCATAGTAGTGACTGTCGAAAAAAACGATTGTAACTGCCCCTTGATAGAAAAAGTTTATCAAATTAAATACCTATGTGTAATACTTGATCAATACATACGTTGGTCTGAACATATTGTCCATGTTAGTAATAGACTGAGAGCCCCCTAATGCACAAATTTTATGTTCTCCCGGATTTTCTTGCATAGTAGCATGTAACACCACTATTAAAATTTTGCAGACAACACAAAATATTATTTTAAAAATTGTCTTAAAGAAAGAGACTATTTTCTACAAATAAATTGTACGATGAATCGAACATAACGTCAAATTACTTTTTGCTTATCAATATATAATGAGAAAATATACCAATGCTGAAAATTTTACTCAAAAAAAATACCCGCTTAACACGCTCAGTCGGTAATATGGAGATTCCTGTACAATTTTTCAAAAAATCACTTAGTCGAAGGTCATTATCATTCTTTGGTCCAAAATTTCGATACACCTCGGGCAAATAATCAAAACAAAAAAGTTTAAAACTGAAATAAAAAAATATTTAATAACAAATAAAAAAATTTACGATCTAATGAAAACATAGTATAAATAAAAAACATATCAAAGCCAAAAGGCACATACGCTTCGTCGTTTTTGTCTACTTTTCCTAAGAGACTGTCTATTTTTTATTTATCGGTTTATTCTGTCGAATTTCTTCGTCCCTTGTTCTTACTTTTAAATATTGTATCTTTTGTTAAGTGATAAATAATTATATGTAAAAGTCCATACCGTCTTTAAAAAAAATATGTACGAGTACATAAATAGAGTCATCCGATTGATCAGAAGCAAAACAGGCAAAAATACCTAGGTTAGATGCTCAATCAGATGTCTTTAAAGAACTTTTTTTCACATTAACTATTTTACTATTGGGTAATGTAGTTTAATATTTAAACAAATAAATTTGATTTGAAAAAAAAGCTCACTCCATCTATATAACCCGACAACCTCGTTTCATAATTATTTAACATAAAATAATCAAGAAGTTGTTAAATAGGTACTACGTATTAATAGAAAATATATTAGGGCAAAATAATGAATAAAAGTAGATACTTAGTGGATAAAAATATTTTTGAAAAATCTAATTTTATTAAACCCCCTTGCAATCTTATAAAGGTACTCCTATGTTTATCATTATTAAAACATTGATGCATTGTCTTTACAGATGTAAAAATATTTTATAAGCTGCATTTCGTGAAATTATGAAATATAAATAATTTTATTGATAGTTTTCTTATTAACAGAAATCATAAATCACTTTATTTATAATCACACTTAACATAAAACATTTTTTTTGGTTTAACTATTAACAAGCAGATACTGGATGATAACAAAATTGAGTACCTAATTAAATTTTAGATTTTCATGTAAATTATGTATTTTATGCGTTTAGCGGGCGTAAAGTGTCCCTTTATCGCCCGCAGACTACTTTAACACCCGCGAACTACTTTATTTTATTTATAATAACCTGGTTACAAAAGGCGAAAAAGAGAGATTATTAATAAACGATCATTAAAACAGTCCTACATAAAATTTTATACAGGGGGTCCCATTAGTGCAGATTTGTTCAATATTTCAATTTGTTATGAACGCGTAAAAAAAATTCAAATAAAAGTATTATAGATTTAAAAAATAATATTTTAAAAATATTTTTGAATATACAAGATGTTGCGTTTTTACCTGGCAAATAAAAATGTATGATTTTTAAATAGAACACCGTATATTTTATTTTAATTTTAGGATGATTTGGTAATAGTGTATTCAACCCTAGAAAATGTTTAAATAATATTACAGTTTTGCCATAAAATTAATTTTTTTTGGAATTAGAGAATGAAGCTGATCTCAAATTAAATTATCATGATTTAGGTAGGTTTACATTGATTTCAAAATTGTTTAATGCACAGACTTACAAGATACTGAGCTAACGAATGATGGTAGTAGAACTGGTTTATTTTATACAGAGTATTTTGAAACATATCTTAAATATGGCTAATTTTAAGTTCAATTTACTCATTTTTTTTTTTTAAATGCAACACCTTGTATATTATTTTAGCATAAAATTCCTTATAAATTTGAAGAGGTTGGGTGGTGTGTACACATTGGGTAATAAAAAATGAATCGAGAGAGTATTTAAAGTGTGTAAAATTGAGTTTTATTCAATAAAACTCTGTAAAAAATTTGTATGAGCGGTTTTGGCCTTCTAAGCCATCATCAGAGACTCTATAACAGAGAAAAAACGGAGCTGTAACAATATAATCAACTCTAACAATACTAAACATTGAATAAATTTGCTTATACAACGATACCAATATGTACACAGGTACACATAGGTACACAGGGTGTCCCATCAGTGCGTAATTGATAGATAACTGTTTTATTATTAGAAATACGAAGAAATTTTTAATAAAAAAGTTGTATGACTATATTTAACAATTTTTCTTAAATATACAGGATTGTCCATAAACGAGATGCTGACCAAATTTACACTTTTTTAAAGCAAAACATCCTACAGGTAGTTATACATATTTAATTGTTTTCACATCGCCAAACAATTTTAATTGACTTTACTCATTTGCTATGTTGTATATAGGGTGTGTCAAAACGTGAGGTTACGATTTTCTTAATTTTCTAAATGGAATACCCTGTATTAATTAATTGGTGTTATAACATATAGGGCATTCCATTTAAAAAATCGAGAAAATCGTTATCCCGCATTTTGACACACCCTATATACAAAATAGCAAATAAATGAAGTCTATTAAAATTGTTTAACGATGTGAAAACAATCAAATAATCGAATATGTATAACTACCTAAAGGGTGTTTTGTTATAATAATGTATAAGTTTGGTCAGCCCCTCGTTTATGGACCACCCTGTTTATTAAACATGGTCATACAACTTTTATATTATTTTTTGTATTTTTAATAATAACAGCTTCCGATCAATTACACACTAATGTGTAATGTTTGTTTAATGTTGGTTTAATGTTTATTTAATGTTTGTTTAATGTTCCGTTTGTTTAATGTTTCGTTTGTTTAATGTTTGTTTAATGTTTGTTTAATGTTTGTTTAATGTTTGTTTAATGTTTGTTTAATGTTTGTGTAATGTTTCGTTTGTTTAATGTTTGTTTACTTTTTGTTTAATGGTTGTTTAATGGTTGTTTAATGTTTGTTTAATGTTTGTTTAAATGTTTGCTAAAAGTTTAAATATTTAAATATTTAAATGTTTAAATTTCATATATATTCTAAGTAGTGAAAACACTGCAAAAAAATGAAATCCATCAATCACAGTTCATATTTTGTTTACCAAAGTACTATTATTTTTAAAATTTTAAATAAGTGACAATTATTCTGTCAAAGTAATTTTCAGTATGTTTTTTAGTTAATAAGATTAAATATACACTAAATGAGTTATTTTTGTTTAGAATCGATAAATAATATTTTAATTTTTATTTGGGCCACAATCTGAAAAAAAAATAAATTTTAATCAAACTGTATGAAACTAGTTTAATTACGAGTATTAAAACCAAAATTATAAAGGTGGCGGTGGAGCCGAGGACAGAACATCTGCCTTCCATGCGAACAGCCCGGGTACAAATCTAGACAAGCGACTAATTTTTTTTGTTTATTTTATGAATTAGTAAAAAACATAAATTATTTTAAAATTAGTTATTTTGTCTTAATATATACTATATATACTATACAACTCCATATCCACTCTTGTTACACAAACTACTATTTCAGTTTCAGTATAATTTGTCAATGATATATTATACAGGATAATTTACCACGCCTCTGACGTATATAGCGAATCGATAAAGTTTAAAATAGCTCATATTTTTTAGGAATATATGATAAGGAAAGCCACCTTTTTAAAATTATTTTAAAATATATACTTAGTATGTCCCAAAAAAATGTGGCGTATCAAAGTTTTGTGGGACACCCTGTATTTTATTACATTTTTAGATTCTCCCTAAATAACTAATTTCATTGATCTATAAGACCCTCTTATTGCAAAATGTATAAGACCCTGAGGAAACAACTATATTGCATACACAACTAAAAAAAACAATATTATTTATTGAGCAAAGAAGAAAATAAAAAATAACCTCAAAATACTGGAAAGAAATGAGTCCAATACTTGGAACAATACCTAAAAGGAGAGATAGAAAAAAATAGAAACAGAAACAGAAGAAAAACTAGGAAGTAATCGTAAAATGTAAGATCCGAGAAAGATATTGTGGATAAAATAGAAAATTATATAAAAACATTAAATGAGATTGGAAAATAAAGCAACAAGGAATCATCCACCCCGCCAAAAGGATTAGAACGCCCACGTCTATGATGAATAATGATGATGATAATAATGATGATTATCAAATAGCGACAGTATGTTAACAATTTGTTATTCGAAAATGTAAATACTTTTGTTTACAATATTTAAACCACATAAAGCATTATTTTTCTTAGTCAAGTATCAATTATTTTGTAGTTATCATTATAGGTACATAAATCAAAATACTAACTGTATTATTACATAATTAAAACATTAAAATAAATAATAAAAAATCTCACCTTCTTCATCCGAGATGCTTTGACATCCACAAACGACGAACAACAAACAAACGCGCCAATAAACAATGGTGATCATATTTCCATGGAAACAAACAACGCAACTTTTACTGCATGCGATAAATCTTCAGTGGCTCGTTTTCTCTAACTCGAGCATGTTTTGAAGTACGTGTAAGTGGAAATTACAATCGATGTCTGATTCAATTCGAAAATGTTCGGCGCGCTCTCTACACCAACAACCGGCGAGAAGCCTGTGTTGGATCAAACAATCCAAACATTTACGGCAAACGTCACAACAAACATTTATACTCGATATTTTCGGTCCGGTGTATGTTTATAATCGAATTTGATAGTGTTAACACACATACGAGGCGATGTTCCAACCGAGATTCACGATCTTGAAATTTTCTACCTACAATAATAAGGCAATAATTATTATAATGTTTATTTACTTTTAAAAGAATTATGTTCTCGAAATGTTTTTACAGGATGATTCATTAAGAAAAATGCGCGTACATTAAGATTGTAATATACAGGGTGTCTGTCAGTCTGTCGGCATGGTCTCTAACTCGCTAGTTCTCAGACAGAACATAGAAAACCAATCCAGCGTTCTCATTCCAGTGGAAGCCGATGATATCATCCCCAAGACCTAAATTTTATGTGGGCAAGATAACATTTTTGCGAGGCCCTCTGGTGGCGCAAGAAGACGGATTTTATATAGAGAAATAATATTGAAACTTGTATTCATAAAAATGCTAACATCTCTTAGACTTTAACTAATATTATTAAGTAATTATTACTAGCAGTAAAAAATTACAGAAACATAAATTTCCTGCTTTTAGCTTTACTGAACTCCTGTACCATAATCCAAATTAGATGCTATATCTGCTTCAATGACAATATAACTATTTGGATAAATTTCTTTCAACTTATTTTCTATTATGTATTGGAGCAGTTGTTTTACACCTTTAATGAAATCAGGTAGATTTGGGATCATTATTTGTAAATCTTCATAAAATTTGTAAGGTTTGAAAGCACTGCTCTCACCCATTCGAGAAAAGTCCACTTTAAATAATTTTAAAGTTGATGCTTTTAAAAACAAATACAAAAATAAGTCAAACATCATATAAAGGGGGATGTCTTAGGAAAGAAATAGAAAAATGGGAAAGAGCGCAAAAAAACGCAAAAGACGCAATGTTTTTAAATTTTGACTGCACCCGAAGATGGAAACAAAGTTTTTCGAAACATATGTAATGCGGTGCTAACGATATTAAATAAAATTTATGACCGCATACACCAAGGAAATTTTTATTTATATAAACTTCTGCTACGGTTTGGAAATTATCCTTATTCAAATTACTTTTTTGAGTTGGAAAATTTTTTAGGTTAAATATGGCATACCAATATTGTACAGGTCGTTTGTCCGTAAGTTTAAATTAATAAAATGAAATCAATATTTGGATACTATTAATACAGTTGTTTAAATAAATAAATAAATAAATCCTTTATTCATCTATCAAATGTACAGATACATACATATGTTTGAACACACAACAAAATGTACATTTATGAGACTTGTCAAAAAAAAAATAAATAGAACAATACAATATATAGCACTTCCATTTACAACACATGCCTAAAATTACTATAATAAGAATAAAAAATATTATTATATATAAATCTAAAATTTAAATTAAAATGATTAAGAAATCTGCAGGAATTCTTCTACAGAATACAACACATGTTCAGCTAAATATTTAAAAAGTTTGGTTTTAAAAACATTAACTACTATTACCCAAAAGCCTAATTATATGATTAAAATAGATGATGCCCTGATAACCCGCAGAACCCTGCCCAATGGCCAGCCGGGAATATGTCATTGCCTCTCCGTGTGTTGTGTTCGTGAATCATGTTATTTCGAATATATTGAGAATCATTTTTCTTAATGTTTAATGTGGTCAAATATATATAGAGACATGGCAATGTTAATATTTCCAAAGATTTAAACAAATTCTTGCAAGATGCCCTATAGTGGGAACCAGTGCTATATCTCACTATTTCCTTCTGAGTTATAAATACTTTCACAGTATGTGAAGCGTTTCCCCAAAAAGTTAGTTTGTAGGTTAATAATGACTACCAGTCCAAAATTGGCTAACTTTAATACATTCAGAGAAGTTGTATTGTGAAGTTGTCTAAAGATAAAACACAAACTGCTCATCCTTGAGACCATCTTGTCAATATGTCCTTCCCTTGTAAGCTTCTGGTCTAGGGTCACCCCTAGATATTTAAAGTTTGTCACCTGTTCTATTGTTCTATGATCAAGCCTAATTAATGGGCAGAAGTCATAACTGATATTTTTTTGTTGAAAGATCATAAATACTGTTTCTGTTATGTTAATTAGCAGCCCATTATCGGAGCACCAGTCCGAAAATTCTTCTACAGTGGCGTTTGCATACTCAGCCAATAAAGCAAGTTTATGCTCAGCCACTATGTGACTCGTATCACCTGCATAGATTACTGTTTTTTGGCTTTTTTACTTGATTGTGTAGGGTCACTGACAAAAATAATAAATAATAGCGGGGCTAGTGTCGAGCCCTGTAGTACTCCCATGTTAATATCTTTGGGCTGTGATTTTATCGAATCTATACTATTTGACGTCTATTGCTTAAATAACTAGAGATCCAGTCGCTAGCCACTCCTCTGACTCCCATTGTAAACACTGGAAATCGTTTTACTGTATGTAAGGACTGTATTTTAAAGCTATTTCTGGCTCTATGTATTCAAAAATCAAATCTTCAAATGAAAATCTGTGCTCAATATTAGTAACTCTACATTAAGTTCTAGAATACGCTTTAAAAATATTCTATCTATCTATCTGAATAAGGGCGGCGTGGTTCAAAGCCCAGTCGTACTGCAGCTCTAGGTTTATTGTACCCCTCTCAGTTTATATTCTATCAGATTGATTTTCTTGTTGAATTCAAGAATATGTCTGATGGGCGCTTTCACGATTTCTTTAGGTTCTAAATATTGTACCCCGAAGTACCATTCCCGTTCCCATTTAAGGTTTCGACAGTGGCATAGTATGTGAATATGGGAGGTTCGTCCTCCTCTTCACATATTCTACATGGGGAGTCATCAGATATCCCTAAGAGTTTTACGTGTCTTCTAAGGCCGCAGTGTCCCGTAAGGAGTCCTATTACGGCCTTGAGTTCGCTTCTGCTGAAGTTTAGCAGTTGATTTTGTATACTCGTGGATGGCCCCTCTATGAATATTTTGGACTGTCTAAGTCCAGAAAGTTCCAACCAGAGCCGATAGTGTTCTCTATTTGCTTGTTCCTTTAATACCTATTTAACATGTTGGTATGAGATACCACATGTGGGTTCAGACTAATGGTCCTTTCTGAGTTCACATGGTAGATCCCAGCTCATGTGTTGTTTTTCATTTTCGAACCGTCTGTATACCAGATTGATTTTGTTTTTCCCTATTTTCCCGGCTTTTGGCCCATTTTGGTATTTGAATATCGAAAAGTTTCCTGAAATCGTGAATAATGGGCGTTCTATCCGATGGCATTCTTAGTACCGGATTTTTTTTTAATTTCTCTAATATCATTGTGTGGTGTCCTCTTCTAGAAAGTTCCCATCCAAATCCATTAGTAAACAGCCTGTATGTCGCCGCCATCGCCGCCTTCTCCACCACAAGGTGTAGTGAAGGAAGACCTAGCAGTAGCTCCATTGCTGCTGTGGGCGTAGTTCTAAATGCATCTGTTATATTAGACATGCTAGTCTTTGTACCTTGTCTAATTTTTTGTTAGTTATTATGCTTTTAGTCTTGTGCCACCATATGACTGATGAGTAAGTTATAACAGGTACTACAACCATAGTGTAAAGCCAGTGCATCATATTTGATTTAAGTCCCCATATGTTTCCTACCATCCGTCTACAGGCCCATACTATTCTTACAGCTTTTTCTGTTGTTTTTTCTATATGGTTGCAGAAGCTAAGCTTGTTTGTTCCTTTAACACCTATTTAACATCAAGAGTGATTCCAAGATATTTAACCTCTTTTGCCATTTTTAGATGTTGTCCCTTCATTCCTTGAAGGTTTCTTTTTCTTGTGAATGCAACAACAGAGGTTTTTGTCGGGTTTGTGGACATCTTTCGACAATATTTAGTGCCCGTTGCATCCACCAAGGTCCAAATAAGAGGAGATAACACTTCTCCCTGCGGCCATCCATTGTTTTTAGGAGAAATGATGTTAGGCTGATTGGTCTGAAAGATTTTGTCTCTTTGTAAGAGGCTTTCCCGGGTTTGAAAAAGAAGACAACTCTTGCACACCTCCAGCTTTGTGGAATAGTTTACACAGTGGTCCCTCCAGTACTTCCTGGCCCTTTTGTAGAAGTGCCGGGATCATACCATCAGGTCTAGCTGTTTTGTATGGTTGCAAGGAATTTATCGCCCACACAAGTTTTGTTCTATTCACTATTGAGTTTGCAAGAGACCAGTTTGTTCTTGAGGCCGTAAAAATTAGTGCCTCGATAATCCTGTTCTCTTGGTCAAGAATAATCTCACATCCTGAAAAGTGTGCCTTTAGTAGTAAATCTAAAGTCTGCTCCTCTGTTTTTGTGAGTTTTCCTTGTTGATTTTTCAGAGATCCCATGCATCCTTGTTTATCTGTCTGTAGAGTTTTCCTGAGTCTGGAACATTCTGGAAGGCTTTCAATGCCGTCACAGAAATTCTTCCAGGAATTTTCTTTGGCTTTCCACCATACAGCGTCTCGATCGTCTTTCCTAATTTTTAAAGGGCAGTTTTTTCAAACGTGTTGGTTAGAGTTCGTGTCAGAAACTCTGACATAACCTCAACTTCGACTGAATTCTTCTGTGTCTGAGGACAGTCCTCCAGTCCTTGTTTGAGTTCTTTCTTGAAAGCTCCCAGTTACAGGTCATAGGATTATGATAGGTCTTCTCACCTGAGGTTTTTTTTACCCAGATTAAACAAGATATGCATATTAGTAAATGTTTCTGTAGCTAATACTCTAAGATAGATTTGCTCTAGAGGTTGAAAATTGTAAGGATTTTTATGATTTAGTTTTAAAATGTTGTGTCTCTAATTACGGATATATTTATAAAATTGCTACACAGCGTCTTTCCCAGTTTTTCTGTTTTGGGTTTAACTTTATAGAGTAATAGTTTCTCTTATTGAAACAATAAATTACAGTCGGTCATAAGACCAACAGTATAACTCATGAATTCTAAATAGACTAATGTAAATTTGTTCTGCATAATTGCTAACATTTGCTCAGTTGTTGCAGAAGGGTCTTCAAACACTAGTTTCATTAAATATCCTTTCTGCCAAAAGTTCCAAAGTGCATTTCAACAATACGAACAATATCGGTTCGGTAAATCCCCTGCTCCGGGCCTATTTTCATTGTTCAATGACATGAAGTGTGGCCTTGTCTAAAATAAGCAGCCAGCTACCAGTCAGCCACTGTTAAATAAAATTAAAGCAGTAGATATACTGAAACAACTAAGTTGTCCAAATAGACTCAGGAGTTTCTAAACTTATTTCTAAAATAAATGGAAATCCAAAAAATTCATAGTTTTTCCTAGAATGTACGGAAATTATACGGAAATTCAAAGAGTTAGAAAAAGATACGCTGGCAAGTCAGAATATACGAAAATCGTATAATTATACGCAAATCGGCAACACTGGTTTTATTGTTTTTATTTGCAGGTTTACTGCGAATTTTATGAAGGCAGACACAAAAAAAATGCATATAATACAATTTGAAATGGTTTAAGTTTGGATTTTTTCCATCTTTATCAAATCAATATCAATATCGATGTACCTCATATGTGAAAAAGTATTCAGTAACGATGCTATGAAGCCTTCAAAAATGGAGGACTATTTATCAAGAGTACATGCTAACAAAAAAAGTAAGCCCTTGTTCTTTCAAGCATTTAAAGAAAAACTAAAGAAAAGATCATCCATAAGATCGATGTTTGGTCATCATCTATGCAAGACGCTGATGGTTTACGAGCGTCCTATAATCAGGGCCGCCGAGAGCCAGGCCGGGCCCCAGGACAATTTTCTACATCGGAGCTCTTTAAACAAAAACATTTCCTCTTCTACGTGAATTGAATTTTCTAAAAAAAAAACTACTTGAATGGCTTTTTCTAAAAAAAACAGCTCCCCAACCAAAACCTTCCCCCTCTCGTCTTTTGTCGAAATTCTCGTACAATACAAAAAAAATACAGTTGCCGGGTCCCCCTTATACCGCTGCCGGCCCCCATTTGAGTCCGGGTCCCGGGAATTAGTCCCGGCTACCCCCCCTCTAGTCGGCCCTGCCTATATTATATCTTTACTAATAGCGAAGTCGGGAAAGCCCCACACAATTGAAAAGCGGCATATTTTACCAACCATTGCAGAGGTCCTCATCAATGTATTGCAGAAACGCGCACATGATATTTTAAAGATAATAACACCATTTAGAGACGAATAGACGAGATGTCTGAACATTTTATGCAATTTCTTACAGACCAACAGATTCTTTCTCTACTTGGACGAGTCTACATTACCTGGCAATGAAGCTCTATTGTTAGGATATGTTCGATAATGATATGGTTTCTTGATTGGCCATGGGTATCAGGAAAGATATCGCCTACTATATGTAAATTGGTAGTAATTGAATTGGTTTTATATAAAAAAAGAATGAATTATGGAAATTGTGATGATTATTGATAAAAGAAAAGAAAGGGATTGATAGGGGATAAGCCGAACGAAGGTGAGGATCGTTTTTATGAAGATCTTCACATTTTCTTTGTAATTACAAAGAAAACAAGTAGCAATATAAATCACAGTTTCCTGTTCCATATGTATCCTAATTGATGAATAAAAGAAAAATTTTGTGTAAACTGAGTCTTATTCACCAAGTGAGAATAAAAGTTACCAAGGTTTGAGCAAACCAATTGCTGTGTACCCGAATTGAAGATAAATTTAAGATAAGATATAAATATTTGATCTATTGAAAGTTCTGAAAAGACATGTCAATGTAATTTGACAGTTCATAAGTATTTAAATAATTTCAGTATTACATAGTGGCGGATCGTAGATGTTAGTAGCAGATGTAGAAAAAATGTAGTGGAAATTATATTATCATTTTTAGAAATAGAGATTTGGAAAATTTCTTATTTTATAAAATTATTAACATTATTTTAGATAATTGAAACACATCCTCAAGGAAGTATCTTTCCTGGTGCTCGAGCTAGTCTGGGACAGATTCATGTCAATATATCGTCGTTGTCGCGGTAAAACCTCCTATGTGACATTTTATTACATTTTTAGATTTTTGTGTCATTTCATAGAAAAAAACATTCTCTACAGTTTAGCTAAATTTTCCATGTAATTTTCTTTTAAAATATTGTGATTTTAGATCAAAAATGAAACCTCTCTTGTGCGTAATACGTATAAGACCAGCAGAACAAAATTGTTACGTTATTTATGTCTACTGAAAATTTTGATAAAATGTACATAGTAAATAGAAATATTATATGTACGCGAAAATATCATAGAAAAAAAATTAGTGTTTCTTCAGGAAAATTATTGATTTATTGCAAATTTTCACGATTATTTCTAGACTTATAGATAATAATTAATGGTGTCATTTGACATACAGGTAACTGCAGGAATAATGGTTCTTAACTTGGAAAATCTAATCAGTATTTGAAATTGTGATAGAACAAATATTTAAAAGATTAGGTACCTATTAAAACATGCAATGTTGCCTATTGCAAATTGACACCACTCTATGGATAGTTCTATGTAATGAAATAATACACTAAATATATACGTACTTATTTGATTCACTGTATACTATGGTAATAAAATATATATCGTCGTTTACACCAAGATACAATAGATTTTAATCTTGGACACAGTGTGTAAACACATGCTACTTAGAATATTCTATTAGGAAGCTTTTAAAATATAAAAATACCCGAATTGTCGAACACAATACAAAGTAACTACTGTTTTTTCAATATTGACGTACCTATATCTCGATTGGTAGATATCTGAATAAATAACACTTGGGGGAAGAGATAACTCCTAACGTGTTCGATAAGAGTGAATCGATCGTCTGATTATCTTCAGGGGCGCACGTTTGGGGCGAACATATTTTTTTAATGTTACATTTCAAGCTAATGGAATAGATTTAAAAATTATTAGAACATGTACAACATATAAATTGGTGTAAATTTATAAATACTGAAAATCTTGATTTCTCAGTTGAGAAACTTGTAAACTATATCCAAGATGCTTTTAAAAAATTTAAAATTAAAATAAAAAAAATAAACGATAACGAAAGGCTTAGATAACTGGATCATTGATTAAATTCATCAATAAAAAAAAAAGAAATTTACAATAAATATAGTTTAAAAAACTAAAAAACATGCTTTTAGAGCATATCAAACTAAAAAGTAAAAAATAATTTTTCAAATTAGCTTAAAACAATAATAAATGGAAAATACTAGTATTATTGTGAAAAAAGCGTCGGGCGCTCGATGTACGAGAAATATGGACAAAGCGCCCCACGCTTTTTTCATAATAATACTAGTATTTTCCATTTATTATTGTTTTAAGCTTATTTGAAAAATTATTTTTAACTTTTTAGTTTGATATGCTCTAAAAGCGTGTTTTTTAGTTTTTTTTAAACTATATTTTTAACTTTTTAGTTCGATGATTTGCTTTTAAGGAAACTAGTGAAATTCGGGTTTCCAAACTTCTTAGTGAAATGGTTAGAAAGTTACCTGCAATCCTGGGTTCAATATGTCAAAGTTAAAAGTTTACTTCGATTCCAATAAATGTAAGTTTAGTTGTCCCCCAGGGGTCTCATATTTAGGACCATGTGGCTTCAGGATTTAAATATTGTAAGTTCCTACCATTCGCCGATGACCTGAAATTGTTCATGAAAATCTTAAACTTACCTGACTGTTTGAAGTTACAGGATGATTTAAACTATTTTATTAATTGGGCTTTAAATAATGCCATGTCTTTAAATCCACGTAAATGTTTTTCAATCACCTTCACAAGATCAAAAAACCCTATAAATTTTCTTTATAATATCAATACTACTGTTTTGGAAAAAGTTAGTGAAATCAAGGATCTAAGTTTGATCTTCAATAGTTCTTTGACATTTGTCCCATACATGAGATACAGTTCATCAAATTTCTAGAGGCTTTCGACGGCTAGACAGAGAAAGCACTACTGAGAGGCATCGGTTGGCGGGGCCGACGGATTTACGCAATGAAAGTACACTCTGCGCATCAAGTATTTCACTATTTTATTCAGACGTAAATGTCAGATGTAAATTTCGCTAAAACATTTCTTTTATTTTCGTTTGTGTCTTTTGCTCATTACAGTTTAATAGAACCTAAGTATGGAGTTTAATAGCAAATTAAGAGGCCGCGTGATTAACAGTCAATTTCGCGAAATAATAGCCAATGTTATAGAGTTTATGAGAAGAGAAGGAAACTTTAATTCACCTTCAATACCATTTAAAAATGTAAATGATCGTGTTGCTGCAGCCACAGGAGTATCTAAAAACACTGTCGTCCGCATTTTTGGAGAGAAAAAAAGAATCGATAACCGTGAGATATCGGAATTTTCATCACCATGAAAAACCATTAAAAAACCAAAAACAGTTAATGATATAGATGAAGCTGACAAAGGTATTTTAAAAAGAATTATTATGTTCATGTTAATCTCGGAAAATATTGTTCCAACATTAAAAACAATTCTGACTAAATTTAGAGAAGCTACAGGGTACAAAGGAAGCTATGAAAGTTTAAGAAAAATAATAAAGTCGCTAGGATTTCGTTGGCGGAAAACAAAAACAAACAGAAAAATATTAATGGAAAGGTTTGATATTCAAAAGCTACGTTTAGACTATCTGATTCGTTTAAAAAGTTATCGAGCAGAGGGCCGTCCAATTGTCTACTTAGATGAAACATACATTCATGCCTCCCACACACACCAGAAAGCTTGGAGTGATAATTCAAATGAGGGATTAAAGAAACCAATTAATAAAGGTGATAGACTAATTATTGTCCATGCAGGAGGTGAAATGGGCTTTATTCCGAATGCCCGGTTAATTTTCAAATCTGGAACCAAAAGTGGAGACTACCACGATGAAATGAATTTTAATAATTTTTCTAAATGGTCGAAAGAAAAGCTGTTTCCGAACCTCCCTCCAAGAAGCGTCATTATTGTTGATAATGCTCCTTACCATAATGTCCAGGTAAATAAAGCACCAACGTCAACTTCTAAAAAAGCTGACATGCAGGATTGGTTAAGGAATCATAATATTGCTTACGAAGAGGATATGCTCAAAACGCAATTATACAGTTTAGTGCTATTGCATAAGTCACGATTTAAGAGGGATGCAATTGAAGAAATGATAAATGAACATGGTTTTAGTTGTTTGCGTTTGCCACCGTATCATCCCGATCTTAATCCGATCGAATTAGTGTGGGCATCATTGAAATAATATGTAGCTAGTAACAACACTACATTTAAGAGGCAAGACGTACAACTGTTGTTTGAAGACTTTTTTGATACGTTTTCTAAAGAGGAGTGGCAATCTCGTAATAATGCTAAAATGTGGGAATCTAAATTTTATGACAGAGAAGTTACTTTGGATGAGGCAACTGATAGATTTATAATTAACTTAAACAGTGACAGTGAGACTGATTTTGAATCTGATATGGAAACTGAAGAAAGTTTTTCGGAAGACCATTAAAATTATATCTGTACCTAAGATCAAAAAAGTATTATCTATTTTTACAACGAAGATGCACAAGAATCAAATTTTATTTTTTTATTATTAGATAGCTATTTTTGTTTCTGAGTTGTGTTCATTTACAGGCTCAATTTTTTTCCGTTTCTCCTTTTTGATTTTATATGGGGTTTCAAGTTGTTTTTGACTTATTTCGACGTAAATCACAACAACACACTTTTTTAATAAAGCAAACAAGTGTTAAGAGGTATATGTACGTGTAAACTACAATTACAAAAAATTGATATGAAACCCATGAAACCACCAACAAAAATGTAAAGCTAGCTTCCGTACTAGAACATGGTGTCATTCGTCGAGATAATTTATCGATTTGTTTAATAGATCAAGAAATGTAAATATTCCCGTTATTTTTTATAAAATTATAAGAGAAATAATTTTTTTTCTAAATAGTATATAGTTTATTATTTTGTAGAAAAACAAAATTTCGAAAATTTTAGTAATGTTTCAGAAACAACCGTTATTAATAATAGGTACCATTTTCCTTAATAAGGTAGAAATAAAATATAAACTATTTCCACGATTTACAAAGGCCTACAAAAGAATTATAGGTATTTTCCGCTATCCTATAAAATTTATATTTTCTGACTCAATTTCAAAAGGTTGAAGGAATTCCAAAACACCTTTTATGGCATAATAATTATTTTCAATTCTACATACTATCTTTAGCTGCTTTTAAAAACGTTCTAAGAAAGTCCAATCAGACCAATTTAATCCCTAAACTATTCCACACTTTTAAAATTTAATTACCTAAAAATATTAAAAACTATTTAAAATAACTTGTTTAGCCTGTACAATAGCTATCTTAGTCACACGTAGCGCGTTCTCTGTCTGGGCGTCGAACACCTCTAGAAATTTGATGAACTGTACATCATTAATAGAGCTCTGAGAACATTGGGGTTTGTGACCAGGAACTCTAGGGAATTCTTTGTGTCTACATTCCGAACCCATTACTTAACACTAGTGCGCAGCATCCTCTTATATGCTTCACCAGTCTGGTCACCTCATTACCGGACTCATATTTTAAATTTAGAATAGTTCAAAATAGGTTTCTAAGAACTTGTCAGTGAAGGTTACATATGCCTTAATAACCATTTAAAGTTATTGTCAGTTGAGAAAACGTTAATTAGTAATGATCTTTTATTTATTTATAACCTCCTGGATGGGAATATAGCTTGTCCGGATATGTTGGAGCTAATAAACTTTAGATTAAACAACAAATATTAGAGAGAAACCATTATTTTCAATTAGCTTCCATCATACGAACTACGAACTCAACAGTCCTTTAACCAGATTTCAAAGGCAAGGAAATTAAACTAACAGACACACTAATCTTTTGGGAGTTAGTCGGTTTAGGTTTAAAAATCAGCCGAGAGAGTACTTATAGAGTTAGCTTTAGCTCTAAGTTTTTTTTTTCTTTTTTGTGTGATGCTTTAGGTTAGGTTTAAAATATCTACTGATAATAATTATTCTGTAAAAAGAGATTTTCCGTAAATAAATAAAATAAAATAAAATAAAAAAAAAATAAATAAAATAAATTAGAAAAAAATTTAAACAAACTTTAACGTAAAATTTAATAATCACTAAACCCCTTAACAATTGTTTCACGGACAGTTATGACGTCTATCGGCAATATTATTAATCTGTGGCAAAATATTTTCTCTACTACCGATTTTACGATATAGGATAAAACTAATGGTTTTATTGGGGTCTATTTTTGTATTATTTATGAATAAGTATCAATGGTAATAATAGTTACATTTATTCATTGACTTATATAGATAATTAAAATATTTTTATTAGCTATTATTTTTTAGTATTAAATTATTGAATATAATAAAATAGTACTTATATTGTTTTAAGACAATTAAGTATTGATTTCCATATAAATGCCAACGTTTCCATTTTCGTCCCAAGTTTTATCTATTACATATTTATCTTGAGACCATTAGTCATTTTGTACTTATTTTAAATATACATATTATGTTACTGTTTATTCCATTTTAGTATTATTCTGTCTTTCAAAACCAGTTATGAAATATTCCGATCATTTGTGAAGCCTCGGCGTTTCTACCCCTAAGGACTAGAAGACACTATAACTAGTTGCCAAGCACCGCTCGAATATGCTATTAATGGATTATTTTGTTTAATTTTATTCATTATTTTTTGTCACTGGTAAATGGATGTTCCTTCCGAACTCCAGGACCCTTTGGCTGCCTTTTCCCCTTAATAATATATTGACAAAAGTAGTTAAATACCTATCAGTTGTTATAAATGGGTTTTTAGACTAGTTGGTTGTTACACCGACTTAATTGGACACACTGTATGTTTTACGAAAAACTCGTTAATTTTGTATTTTAGATAACCTTTAAATTTTTCTTTTTTTGTAGTATTTGTCTAAAAATTGTAACGTTCCGCCTGATATTTTATTTTTTGTCTTAATAAAAGTTCCGTTTTTAATTATTTTATGATCTTGTCTTCCCAAAACCACCCTCTTTCATGAATAAAAAAATTAATAATGAAAATATTAATAAAACAAAAAAAATGCATCCGATAGATAAAACCTTGAACATTTATTTATTTAGGAGGGGACAAAACTCACAGAGAAATTAGTCATGCGATCACGTCATTAATTTTGTAAAAACCAACAGCTCCCAAAATTAATATACTAAAATGATCAGAAACCACGTTAAAGTACAAAAGGGCTTGAAAAGAATTATCCAACATACCTACAAATGATATATATTAAATTTTTGCAGTGTTGCCAATACTAGGGTTTGGTAAGATCGGTCCACCATCAAAAATGTACTTTTGTATATAAATTATATACACAAATCCAAGACTGCGCCGCCTGGTGTAAGATGCGTTGAACTAATATCGTATCAAAAACGGTGAAATTTCATCAGGGAGTTACTACCACATAGGTCTATCTCAAAGGCATTGAGAGCCTTCTCAAACCCGCAAGTGGGTCTGGTAAGGCAATTTTGGGTCTGGTTAGTTCTAGAGAATGTAGGTAACTAAAGTATCTGTTAAAAAATTGTAATTTTTAACAGACTTCAAAAAATGAGGAGGTTCTCAATTCGTCGCAATAATTTTTTTATGTATGTTCAGCGATAATTCTTTAACGCACTGTCCGATTTCATTGATTCTTTTTTTGTTAGAAAGGGGGTACTTTAGGGGTGGTCCCATATAAATTTGATCCAAATCTAATAATTGAGTCTATGAGAAAATCCTCAAACACTTCATTTTTTATGTACGTTTAGCGATAATGCTTAACTACCCTGTCCTATTTATATGATTCTTTTTTTGTTAGTAAGGGAGTACCTCAGGGTGGCCTCATATAAATTTGGTTAGATGTGGTGATGGCATCTGCACGTTTTTGAAGTCGGTTTTTTTTTAAGTTTTAATTTCTAATACTTGTTGAACATTAATAGAGGGGAAACATTCTTTATGGATAAGTAGGTACCAATAGAGGAAAGGTCTTTGATAGTAATAACACTTTATGGTGCCAATATGTACATATTTATTTTAACTTGATAACTTACATAATGCTAAATATATATCACATATGTATTATACTGGAATATTTTTTGGTTACAATGTCCAAAAATAACATCAAGAAAGTATTAGGAAATCTGAAATAAAATGATAAGAATAAACGCCATGAAAATGGATATATTAATAATGTTCAAAAACAAGCATGATAAAACCTGTTTGTTTACCTTGCGATAAAAGAAGACAAAAACATAATCTAGGTTCGACCATGTGAAACAAACGTAACTAAAATGTTAAAACTAGTGACTGTACCAAAACAAACGTAGTGCCCAAACGAAATCCCTGAATATTATATACAAAACAAAATAGACCCTTCACTACTATTTTTAACCTAGAACCTTGACCTCTTATAATAAGACTTGACCTCAGCTCCTTATGGATATAAGGTTCTTTTTAGAAAAATTAAATATCAGCAGATTAACTTTTATTGAGTCAAAATCCTAATAATTCTAAAATCCCTATTTCTAAATTATTGCCAGCCCATTTAAAAATACCTAGCATTATAAAGGTTAATAGGATTTCGGTTTAAGGTTTATTTTGATTAGTTTTACATAACACGTGACAATAACAAAGTATTTTGTTATGAATGAAAGACAATAAAAAATAAAAGGTGGAAAATAAATAATATTAAATTTAGTCAAAAAAAGTTGTCTTTTAATTAAGCATATTTTCTAAACAATTTCATTTTTTAAAACATGAAAAAATAAAAATAAATTATAAACAATAAACAAGTATATACATAATTATTTTTTAAATGTTGATTTTATATACTAACTTTTAGACTCTTTGATAAACGACATTTTCCTTGTGTCTCCTCTCCATATCGATCTGTTTTATCCAAGTGTAACAAGCACTTCCAAATAATACTATCAAATTTGAGCTCCACCATAACAATGACTTTGTCTCTTGGTACCAGTAAGTTGCCAATACTGTTTGTGCACATGCTTTGGCAGTACCGGATATATTATGAGTCAATGCTGATGTGTACTAAAATAAAAAAAATTGACTGAAGAATAAACCGAAGAACGGGAATATTATTAGCTGAATTGAAAAATGATAGATAGGTTACTAATTGTTAAACACCAGAGCTTTCATATGACACTAACTGTATTATAATAGTAGGTAAAAGCTAATTATTGCCTAATTAAGGACATACCGAAAGAGTAATATGGAGTAATTTTAGATCTGAATTAAAAATGTTAAGTTGGGATATAATAAATTTAATGAAAACGACCAAGCTATTATTATTGACCTTCTATCCAAACTGTACCTACAATGTTTTCTTGAAAAGAAGATAATCAAAAGTAAAAATAATTTAGCAAACACTCAAAATGTAAGTTACATTAAGTCAAAGTTAGATGCTATTCAAGTAATATTCAATTCTACAAAGTCACCGGAGAGCTTCAAATTATTATCGTTTTTAAAAAAAGAATACCGGAATATTGTTAATAAGGAAACGGTACTTTTGAACAATAAAAAATATTTGAGTCTGATAATAAACAAAAAACAGCTGGGCAAATAATTAACACTAACTTAGGCAGAAATAAATCTTTTAAAACCAATGTGTCTGTCGATGATTTTGCAGATTTCTTTCAAAGTGTAATTCACGATTTAGTTGAAAATTGCAAGCAGTCTACTAATGTTAACAGCTTTATTAAAAAAAATATTTTTAATCATTTATTAATATTTTTGAACCTCACAGATACAACAGAAGTCCATCAAATTATTAAAGATTTAAAAAATTCTAAAGCTAGGGATATTTATGGATTGAGTGCAGTTTTGTTGAAATCAGTTGTTGATATTTTAGACTCTCCCATTGCTAATCTAATTAATTTGTGCATGAAATCTGGAGTTTTTCCAGATACATTTAAAGTATCACAAGTTACCCCTGTTTTCAAAAAAGGGGACATGAATCTACCATCTGCTTATAGACCTATCTCAATTATACCAATAGTAAGCAAAAAAAATTGAAATAGTGTTAAAACAACGAATTATGAATTTTTTTGAAAGCAACAAGTTGCTAAGCCAAAATCAATTCAGTTACAGGGCAAACAAATTAACACTTAACGCAATATGTGATCTCTATGAACTATGAAGCTGTTACGGATGGTTTTGAGGATTGTTCACATATTACTGCCAGATTTTATGATCTTACGAGAGCGTTCGATACGGTTCAACATGACATTTCATTATTAAAATTAGAGAGATATGGAGTTAGAGGGACACCATTAGAGCTTATTACCTCTTATTTGCAAAAAAGAACTCAATATGTTCAAATTGATGGGCAAACTTCGGGCAAGAATTCAGTACTGTATGGAGTTCCACAGGGTTGTTCTCGGACCCTTACTTTTTATTATTTACTTTAATGATATGGCAATTAATCTAAGTAATATTATACAGATGTATTATTTGATGATTCAACATATATTGCTACAGATAAAAAAAAATCTGATACAGTAGAAAGGCTAAATGAAGCAGAAGTTATGTCAAATAATTGGTTTGGTAGCAATGGTCTTACATTAAATGAAGCAAAAACTCAGCAAATGTCATTTTCTATCATTGCTAAAAGTGAGGAACAGGTTAAAATTTTAGGAATATACAGGGTATCTGTAAAAGGTCTTTACAAAAACATACCACATATTCCTTAGACCAAAATAAGTCGATTTAAGTAAAATTACCTTAGTACAAAGTTGCTTCGTTTGGGCTCCAGAGGGCCTTGAAGTTACAATTTTTAAATCGTGTTTCCCATATAAATTTAAAACGGCATATGCGATTTTGCTAAAATTTGGTATATTGGTAGAGTTTTATGTGGCAAAAAATGGTATTAAAATTTTGTCCGATAATAATACATAGGCATATAACTTGATTTTTTAAATATTTGCACCTTTAAAAATTCTACGCCAATGGAAGAAAAGGAGTTTGAGTATGAAATTTAGATTGCGCAACTCATTTACTTTAAAAAAGTTACTCTTGATAAGACTCGATTACTCTCATGGTTTTGACGAAATTTGCATTTTAGTAATTTTAGAACATAAACAATAATTATTAAAATACAAACTTTGTCAAAACCATGAGAGTAAATCGAGTGTTATCAAGGGTACTTTTTTGTAGTAAATGAGTACCCAATCCAAATTTCATACTCAAACACCCTTTTTGCCATTGGCGTAGAATTTTTAAAGGTGCAATTATTTAAAAAATCAAGTTCTACGCCTATGTATTATTATCGGACAAAATTTTATACGATGAAAAACATAAAAATGTACTTTTTTCATATCTTCTTCAACACCTCTAATCGAGACTTTTAACAAAAATACTCGGTTCTTGCCATGTACGATTTTTTGAGGAATATTAATTATTTGCCTGCAATACGTATACAAAAACATTTGTTGTTGGTTTCCATAGTTTCATATAAATAAAAATATTGTCAAGTTTTAACACCTAATCTCTTGTCAACGATTGAAAGTGTCCTATCTGACTCAATAATTAAAAAAACAAATGCGTGGTTTATTAATATGGCTGTACAATATACCAATGCAGAATATACCGATATGTTACTGACATTAGGATTTTGTGAAGGAAATGCTCGAGAGAGTGTCAGGGTGTACTCTGAAAGGTTTCCAAATCGTCGTGTACCTAGCCACCCAACTTTTGCTGCTGTTGAAAGACGTCTTCGGGAGACCGGTTCCTTTGCTCCAAAACTATTGATAATGGAAGAGAACGTTTTGTAAGGATTCCTGAAGTTGAAGAAGACATTTTAGAACGTGTTGAAGAAGATTCAGAATTAAACACCAGACGAATTGGAAGGGAACTAGGAGTAAGTAAAGATGTCGTTCATAAAGTGCTTAGAGAACAATTGCTATATCCATACCATAAGAAGCCAATACAAGAATTATTAGTCCATGATCCTCAAATTCGTTTGGGTTTTTGTCGATTTGTTAATATGCAAAGAGAAAGAGATCCAATCTTTGTCAAGAAGGTTCTCTTTACCGATGAAGCGGGTTTTACAAGAAGAGGTATAACTAATACACATAATGAACATGTTTATGCCGTTGAAAATCCGCATGCAATAAAGGTAAACCATTTTCAGCACGAATTCAAAATTAATGTGTGGGCTGGAATAATTGGTAATTTCATTGTTGGTCCTGTCATACTTCCACGAAGATTAACTGGAGAAAATTATTTGGATTTTCTACAAAATACGTTGCCAGAATTGTTAGAATATTTACCTCTCCAACTTCGAAGAGATATGTGGTTTATGCAAGAGGGAGCTCCACCACATTTTTCTTTAAACGTTAGAAACCACTTGAATGAACAATATCCACACAAATGGATAGGCAAAGGTAATGACGCACCTGTAAACTGGCCACCACGTTCCCCAGACCTAACACCGATGGATTACTTTTTATGGGGACATCTGAAATCCACAGTTTACAGGGAACCTGTAGAAAATGAGGAACAACTCTGGCAACGTATTCAAGATGCAATAAACAATCTTAGAGGTGATGAAGAAGTTATGGAAAGGATACATTTTAATTTTCTTCGACGTATAAATCTTTGTATGCGTGAAAATGGTGAACATTTTGAACAATTTTTGTAAAATATCTATTTTGATTATGTTGTAAATAAATATTTTTGTGAAACCTATACACTCTAAATTATTAAAACAGAAATTTAGCGAAAACCATGAGAGTAATCGAGTCTTATCAAGAGTACCTTTTTTAAAGTAAATGAGTTGCGCAATCTAAATTTCATACTCAAACTCATTTTCTTCCATTGGCGTAGAATTTTTAAAGGTGCAATTATTTAAAAAATCAAGTTCTACGCCTATGTATTATTATCGGACAAAATTTTAATACCATTTTTTTGCCACATAAAACTCTACCAATATACCAAATTTCAGCAAAATCGCATATGCCGTTTTAAGTTTATATGGGAAAAACGATTTAAAAATTGTAACTTCAAGGCCCTCTGGAGCCCAAACGAAGCAACTTTGTACTAAGGTAATTTTACTTAAATCGACTTATTTTGGTCTAAGGAATATGTGGTATGTTTTTGTAAAGACCTTTTACAGACACCCTGTATTTAGACCTGATACTAGATTTTAAATATCACATTCAAAGTTTACTAAGTCATTTAGCAAAAGCTACTTATACAATTAGACAGCTAAAATTTCAATTAAACATTGTACATTTAAAAATGGTCTACTTTTCATTATTTCATAGCATTATAATGTATGGGGTTATACTTTGGGGAAATACAAGCAACCAACTTAGGGTATTTATTGCACAAAAAAAAAGTAGTACGTATCATGATATCGAGTAGCTACAATAGTCACTGCCAACCTATTTTTAAACAGTTGGGTATTTTACCACTATCATGTTTTATTTTAGAGTGTCTTTTATACATGAAAAAACAAATTGGTAATAATAATGTTACTTGACAGAGCTCTAAACATTCTTATTGTACCAGAGGAAATTAGGATATATCTTTACCTAATTACAGATTAACCAAACTTCATGATTCTTATAGATATATCAGCATTAAAGTGTACAATTCTCTATCTCAAGCTTATAAAAACTCATCTTTTAATTTATTTAAAATAAAAATTCCATTGACGAATTCTTATCACATGTGTGCATGTGAGTAATTTTTATCTTTTAAGTATATTTTAATATGGTATGTGTATCTATATATATTTATTTTGTCTATATTTTTTCTAAATTGTATTTTCTGTATCTATACCTTTTTTTATACTTTTAACATTGACACATGTAAAATGTTTATTTTTATTTTACATCAATAAATATCTATCTATCTATTCAGCCACATGATTTCAGCTATAACTCTTTTGTTGCTTAGGATATATTTCTACTATAAAATACTACTTTAAAAACATTAAAATTGTTGTACTACAAGTGTGTTATTATTTTGAAAGGCTCATAAAACCACACCAATGTTTATCAAGTGTTTAAGAATTAATATATTTTTCTATTTAACATATAATTAACCTCCTCTTCGATAATATAAAGCAGACTCTTAGACTAGAACAAATAAACCCTTTGAAATATTTGTCATCTCATTTTTTTTAGACTCGAGATAAGAACTGTAGTTGAGACTTCTCCATAAGGTTATTTGTCAATAACCCACCTAATTTATTTCAAACAATTTTAAATATTTAATAATAAACTATCTTTACACAAATGCAATTATATTTTCATGCAAAAATTCCCCAGTTATTACCAAATAAACGGTTTGGCTTCAAGTAGTTTACTATATTATTAATTAAATTAAGAATTTTTTAGTTGACTTACTTTTATTTGTAAAGATGTAAAGAATCCAATAGTAAATCCACAAATACCACCAATTAAAATTATACTCCAAAAGAATGACTCTGAAAATCTGTCATAATTATACAACTCCTTCAATTCTCCATTTAAAACCATAATAGGAAACAATAAAATGCTGGCATAAACATTATTGGCATAAGATAATGCCCAAATCTCTCCTTGCAGTTTTGGTAAAACCTTCTTCGTAAATATTGAGAACAATGATAAGGATAGAGAACCCAGTATGCCAAATATAAAACCTGGCACTGATAAGCTTCCTAAAAAATATATACAATTTACTCCAAATTCAAAAATTGGTATAGAAATTTTTAATATTCGTTATCACAATTACCTGCCAAATTTTCTTGATCCACCCCTAACCAAAATCCACCAATAATAACTGCACAGCATGCAATACATCTTTTAGATGTTGTCTCTCCTAATATCAAAAATGTAAATATTACATTAAATATAGTAGTTAGAGATCGTCCAATATAATAGTATGCAACTGATGCATATTTTAAGCACAAATTGTTAGTTGAAATCATTGTAGTAAATAAAAGAGCGAGTGGAAACACCTAGAAACAATAAACGTTCAAAACTGAATTTACAATATTTCTATTGATACAATTTAATGCATAATGTTCAAGTTTTTTACAATTGAATTTCAAATGATTTATTTATACATATACAGGTCCGAAAATAAAACCTGCCACATTTATCTTTGTAAAAAAGCAAAAGAGAATGTGTTTAGAAGTACACACCAAACTATTAGAGCAAATATTAACAAAATACAAATAATAAGAAACAATAACAGTGATCTGCAATATAATTGTTAAAATATAAAACCAAACACCATGTTAAATACATTGGAGAGCATAGAATCCCTGATTTACATATATTATGTAAATATTTAATGAAGATCTAAAAATTTAGTTTTCAATATTATTAATAAACTTTAAATACTTACCGCTTGTAATGTATACCTGTCCCATAAATCCACATCTGGAAATTTGAATCTGTTTGGAAAAGCATCGCTTAATTTCTTTTTACTATAACATATAAGAACTGTTATCAACGTCTGAGTAAGATTTATGAACATTGGGGCATCTAAATTTATGTGGCTTAATAACGTTTTATTGACGAATACTGTAGAAATAGAAACAATCCTAAAAAACAAGGGTATATTTTATATATTAACATATTGTTGCTTTAAAAATGATAAGACTTACCAATAACCAAATACTACAAAAAATATTGTAATATACTTGGAAACGAGCGTTGCTTCAGCTGCCATTTTTGGTTACTATTAAAAGTTAAAATTTTCTTGTTTAAAATATTTTTATTTTAAAATATAAATGTATTTCGGTGGTATTTACATGGCACCTTTTTTTTAGGTTATCATTAAATGTCAACAAATATTGGCTGTTGGATCATGTTGGATTGGATACGTATCACGTGGCTTGATGCGTACTGTATTGAAGGCTAATTAAAAAAAAATATTTTATATTTCATTAACAATATTTAATTGCAAAAAATACTATAAAAAGAATTAAAAAGCACTGTGATTAAAACAAAAACTAAAAAATGCAAATATAAAATATGGTTTAGAAGGGGCTCAAATCATACAAGATGAAGGGCCATTCTAGAAAAAAACATTTTTTTTTGACACTGACAGATGATAGATAGGTTAAGTTCAGCATGAAAAAGGTCTTAATTTATTAATTCGTTTTTATAATGGCAAATAAAATAAAAAACGAATTTGTTGCTTACAGTGAGCCAGCAATTAGAAATAACCTATCGATTGTTGAATATTGTAGAACATCCGTTGCTGCTGTGTCTGGTTGTACTGCAGGTATTTTTTTTTATAAATGATAGGAGACCGTTTTTATAATCATACTTTGCAGGTGTTCTTGGATTAACTGGACTTTATGGAGCGCTGTTTTTCGTTATAGCAGTTACTAGTTTTTGGTTTATGCTGATATTTAAGGCTGGTATTGATTCCTGGAAAAAGTATTTCATTTCTAGAAAGTCTTTACTTTTGAATGGGATTTTTGGACATTTTTTCACTTACATTCTGTGCTGGACATTTATCTATGGAATGGTTCATGTTTATTAAAAGTAAAAGTTTCATTTTATAAAACAATTTAGAGTTAAGTGATAAATTTAGAATAAGTGGGACATGGCCGATGAAAGAAATTTTCGATCTGCTTATTATGAAAAAGTGGGTTTTAGAAGTGTAGAAGAAAAGAAATCGCTCGAAATTTTATTGAAGGAAAAACCTTTGGATCACGGCAAGCTGAAACAGTTTTGCTTGAGATTTTCTGTACCAACAACTTATAGAAATTTAATATGGAAATTACTACTAGGTAAGTTTACACATTTACAAAAAATAATATGTTAAAGTTTAGGGTTTATAGAAATGTTTGTAATTAATTTGAATGTATTACTTAAGAGAATGACATTGCTTCTTTTTTGTTCCATATTTTGGTATTCATGTTAAGTTTGATTTAATTTTAGACAAATAATCAAAATTCACACGAATATCATTATCTTATTGTATTTTAGGAATTATCCCTGTTCATGTAGATTCACACAACTTTATTATGGACCAAAGAAAACAGGAATATCACGACCTACATAGAGCACTAACTATAATGAAAGCCATAGATTCAAATACACCAAAACAACAAGTTACTTTAGCCATGTGGCTGTTACAGTCAGGAAATTATATAATAGATACCAATTTAACAACAGAAAGAGGGTTTACCAATATCGTACAATCTTTTATGCAATTTTTTGATGATGATACTGATATTTTTTGGTTGTCTAGGAACTTTTATGAAAATGTAAGAAAATTTGAGTCAGAAATTGGTAAATTGGTGGAAAAAACTCATGTTTTATTGGAGAAGGAGGATCCAGCATACTACAAGCATTTAAATAAAACTGGAATTTTAGACAATTTACCCCTGATTAAATGGTTTGATTGTTGTTTTGCTGGTATTTTAAATAAAACCGCTTTGGAGAGGTAATTTCTATTATAAGTATCACATTTCATGTGTCTTTTTAAAATTGCATTATTCATTTTGGACAATAAACACAACAAGTAATATTTTTATATTCTTTTTAGGATTTGGGACAAACTTTGTGGTGGATCATACAAAATTCTTGTGTTTGTTGCTGTCGTTCTTTTAACAACCCTTAAACCCAGGATTTTGAAATGTACAAATATTTCTGTAGTACTACAATATATAAAGAATGTATGTATTTTATAATTTACAGTAAAGTGTCTGAACTACCTCTCAGCACAACACCTAATAATCAGCAAAATAGAATAACTATTAAATCTTTAATGACAAAATTTTGTTTTAGATTACAGAAGAAACAGCTGATGTCATTGCTAACAAGTCTATAGAAATGTGGCAGCAGCATGGAAGTCCACTAACAATACATGATAAACCAAAGCCATAGATACATTGATATATTTGTTTAATGTGTTAGACACGGTAGTCATTTTTAAAAAACATACTTTTCATCTAAATGTAGGTATTTTATTGGTATTCGTTTTTTTAAAATCTTTTTGTTGTTTAGATCCTAGGACGTCTTGAAACTAAAATAAACATTAACTTTATTGTATTTATTTAACTTTCTAATTGAGAATCCTTTACCTTACGTTTCAATGCCTTACTTTACTCAGCACACGTTATAACCCAGCAACTAAAAGCTGGACGAAAGTTGTGAAATAGGAACTTTTTATTGTGTCCATATTTTTATTTAAGTTGCAGTGGCAGTTTATAGCCTAATCTGAGAAGACTATTTACCTCTAATAAATTTTATCAAAACTTACTGAAGCACTTTAGGTGATCCAATCATAATCTGGCAGTCCATCTGGTATTTTTGTCAGGGTTTAAATAATTTAAAATTAAACATCACAATTATTTTTAAAAGTTTTTTCTGATTTTTCAGTATTTGTTTCAATTCTTTCATAACTTTTCATATTACGTTAGTAATTGTTTCAATTAACTACTTTTAGTTAGTACATTAATATGGTTAACTTTTTCTAGTATGAATAAAAAAATATTGGTATTATTCGTAGAATAGTTTGTTTATAGTTATCATTGTTTCATGTTGCTTAAAATATAAATACATCAATTTCCCTTTATCTTATCCACTAGTCGTGCCAGGAGATGGAAGTTATAAAATCCGAAACCGTCGCATTGTAAGATTTAATTCGACGTTGTGTCCCACGTTGGGCGCCAAATATGTTACCTCTTAAGCGTTAATTCCGTTAGACCCATATAACGTTGTAAAAAACCTTTTTTCAAAGAATTTTACAACCCTTCGGTCTAGCTGAGATACTGATGAAAATTGAAATTTTGGGGGTCGGTGAGATTCGGCTAGAATTTAACTAACAAGGCACTATCTTTAGTTAAAATGATTAAAAAAGGAAATTAAATTAATGCTTGTGGACGCCACGTATTTAGCAGTTGTAAAATCCCTTGATGCAAGATTTTTACAACTTTACATTAGCCTAACAGGGTTGATGCTTAACAGGTAACAATTTGAAAAGTGTGTTTGGACAAATGACGTTTCCGAGCGATCCATCAGTATAAAACATTGCACTCGTTCTGCCAAAGAATGTGGACTAAAAACTACCTCAGTTTTTTAGAGGTGATTTAACTTCAAATATAGCAACGTTTGGTATATTATTATTAAAACATTACATTACAAAACATTAGTACCAACCGTCTTGTTAATTTCAAAGATCTAGGGGTCAATTTTGATTCAAAATTTTCATTCAACAAACATATTGCTGATATATCTGCTGGGGCGTCAAAAATGTTAGGCTTTATTTACCGTTCTTGCAAAAATTTCAAAAATATTGATACCATCAAACTATTGTATTACAGCTATGTTAGATCAAAACTGGAATATTGTTCGATAATTTGGAATCCTTTTTATGCAGTTCAAATCCAGCAACTCGAAAATATACAACGGAAATTTGCAAAATATCTTATGTTAAAAAATGATGGGCTTTATCCTCCCCGTGGATACAATAACTCGCAGTTATTGAGTAAATTTGATTTACCAACGCTATTAGAGAGAAGATCTTATTTAATGTTAATATTTTTGTATAAGTTGTTAAATAATAGAATTGACTGCTCGGAAATATTAAATAAAATATGCTGGCGTATTCCGAACAAGAACACTAGATTAAGAACATTATTTTATCTCAACCAAAGTAATACCAATCTTATGTTAAAATCACCAATCTACAACATGTGTGAAACATATAATAATCTTGCCAGTTTCAATTATGATATTGATATATTTGGTATGACCTTACCCAAATTCATTAATTGTACTCGTCAATCATTGTTTTAATCATTGTTTCAATTTCATTGTTTTATAAATCATTTTTTCAATCATTGTTTTAATTGTATTGAAACAACATTGTTTACTTTATTTATAATTTATATAGATACTTTAATTATATGTTAATTGCATTGTCTTGTAAATGGGACTACCTGTTAGACAATAAAGCTTATTATTATTATTAATATTTTGTGAAAAATAACAGTATAGTTAGGTATGTAGTTGTATTTAACTGAGTAGAAATTAGATAGTTTTAAGATATTTATTACATAAAAAAATACATTGCGTTGTTCGTAAATTTTAATGAACCTTCTTGCATCCGGCTGTAAATGTTTTATTTTTCAAATTTCTAAATCATCGTTTAATTACGTCTTTTATTTAAAATATGTTTTTTTTTGTTTTTCAAACCATTCGAATTAAAACAGTAAATAAACAATAATTAAAATATATATGACAAACTCAATCCGAGAAATCGAAATGCATTTACATTACAATACTTGCCGAAAACAAATCTTCTAATAATTGAGAGCGTCAAGTAATCGTAGAGGATATGCTCGTTGATATCATATTTTTGTTTGCACCCTTTGCAGAATGCGGATTCTGCCAGCCCCATGACATGGAGATGCTTCCCTACTTGGCAATGAACCATCAGAATGCCTGTTATCAGGCATCTAGTTATAGTATTTGTTTGCTGTAGTATTGTCAGGATAACTTGAAAGCTCCCTGAAAAGTCTGCAGCTTCTTGTTTCATCCAATATATCCTTGAATTTTACAAGAAAATGTTTTTTAATTAGGCTTGTCACTATCGATGTTGTCAGTCCAATAGAACGGTCAGGTCCAGAAGGTATTTAGTTGACTGCCTTCTTGCCTAGTGAATCAGCAAGACGGTTACTTTTCAATGTGACGTGCCCTTTGATCCATCTTAAGTTGACCACATTATTGATGGATACGTCGACCAGAGCTTCGTGACATTCTAGTACCAACCCTGTGTAAATCCGTGGTCTGTTCAGTGGGAGTAGAGCATATCTGCTATCTACAGTGTGTCTGTAAAGTATGGAACAAATTCATTTTCAGCTAAACAGACCATTTTAAGAAATAATCCTGAAACACGTTAATTTTTGATTTTAATTTACCGTATTTTAAAATAATCTAATATACAGGGTGAATTACTTTCGAGTAATGACGTCACCGTCATTTTTTTAAATGGAACCCCTATTCCCAGACAACACACCAAATCCCAGAGATATCTGCAGAATTTCTTCTGTGGATATTCAATATATCCACAGGATATCAGAAATATTTCGTGGATCTAATATGGATATCCAAATGTCCGTCTATATCCAGGATATAGAAGATATCCTAATGGATATTTAGCAAAATATCTAATGGGTATCTTTCAGAAAATACAAGAAATCACAGAGATATCCACAGAATATATTTTGTGGATATTCAATATATCCAATATATGGATATCCAACCAAATGTCCGTCTATATCCCTGGATATAGAAGATATTCGGATATTCAGCAAAATATTTTATGGGTATCTTTAGTAGAGGTTCATAAGTAACCAATGATTATTGAATAACGTCGAAAGAAAATAGTAGAGATAAAAAATATTTTCAACACTCTGCCTTTGATTTTGCTCACTAAGGAGAAAGTCATCCTTAGCAATAAATGAAAATTCTCGACTCCAGTCTCTAAAGGCGGGTACAGATCTGAGCACGTACGCGTATGAGGCAAGCCGAGGCCGAACCGAATGCCTCGAGTGACGCATTTTGTATACACGAATGGTGGACGCACGAGGCGCTGTTCGCCACTGATCCAGTAAATTCGCGAGCACGCAACCGTATACCCAGAACATACATAAAATTAAAACAAAAATGAAGGATGAGGATGACGTCGCGGAGTTGATTACATGTTTTAATATTTTATCAGACACATTAAAGAAAAATGGAGAGAAAGGAATCGATGGCCGATTTCCTGTCAAGGATATTCTTTTTTTTAAGGTGTTGTAATAGAACTGACATTTTGCTCCCTTAAGATATCACGCAGATTATTTAAATCCAGGAGAAACAAAACGTTTTTCTGATTCCACTCCATACAAAATAAATCCTAAAAACTCGCTATAATCTATACGGTGCTGTATAGTGTGCAAATTCACCGTCCAGACTGAGCACGTACTGCGCATTGCCTCCCTTTGATGTACCGCCAACAAATGGATCGGGGCGAGGCGGTACGGCGCACACAACGAGGCAATTTGCCGCGCCTCGGAAGCCCATCCACATCTGCATGCTCATGCATCCTCAGCTTGCCTCATACGCGTACGTGCTCAGATCTGTACCCGCCTTAATGAAGTGATTAGGACACACATTTCGATCGAACTCAATTACGGCGGGTCGAGCATGAGTAGATGCGATAGTGGTATCGCCATCTATACTTAGTAAGCAGAATCAAATAACATCTAGTGGATATCCACGATGGTTTGCGTTCGCCTAGACTGGCGTAATTTTTTAATAATTTGCTATATAATTACTATTCTTCATGGACATTTGCATGTCTATAAATTACATTTCATGGATATAAAATAGATATCTACCATGGACTGGACATTCAGTGGATATTGGGATGTTCAGTAGATATCCAAAGGATTTGGTGTGCTGTCTGGGTTTTATCTCAATTTTCGGATTACTCTAGCTGAGCTGATTCCAAAAATGTATCGCATGTTGATTCCAATTGATACAGGGTGGACTTGTGGTCTAGCAGACAGAATATGAAAGAAATTTCTTATCAATTTTGAAAAAACATAGTCGTCTGGTTTTTTGTGAAATGTCATTATTTGTTTAGTAATTTATTGATGTTCAGTGACAGTTTAGTACTACAATATTTTTGGTATTCGTGAATGTTTTAATTATTGCTTATATTTAATTTGAATTAGAAATGGAGTTAAGTGTAAAACAAAAAATTGAAATACTTATGATGATTGGGTATGGAGACAGATCGCAAACTCAGATGGAAGTGTGCAATTTGTTTAATGATAAATATCCAGAAAGACCTATGACGGGTTCAACAGTCAGTAAGATTGAAAAGAAATTGGTACGGTTGAAAATGTACGCAAATCAGGTTGTCCCTTTGCAAATGCTGATACAGCATTAAATGTTTTACTTAAGTTTCGAAGAAGACGCGCACACTTCTGTGCGTAAAGTTAGTCACTATATCGGTGTTAGCAAAACAACGGTACACAAACTATTAAAGCTTGAAAAATGGCATCCTTATAAAATCAAACTTGTGCAGGAATTAAACGAAGATGATCCCGATAGAAGAATCCAATTTTGCGAAAAAATTATGGATAAATGTCTCCGAGACCCTCTCTTGATACAAAACATTATTTTTTCTGATGAGGCCACTTGCACGTTAAATGGCGAGGTTAACCGTCAGAATTGTAGATACTGGGCAAAAGAAAACCCCCACTGGATGCGTGAGCATCATACACAATACCCGCAAAAGGTAAATGTATGGGCTGGAATTGTAAGAAATCGAATCATCGGACCCTACTTTATCGAAGTTAATTTAAACGGGGCAACGTACCTTGAGTTTTTAAGGGAGTATCTCGTACCTACTTTACGTAATTTGTTTCCCAGCAGACGTAATCCTGGAGGTTGTAATGAAAGTTTATGGTTTCAACAGGATGGTGCACCTCCACATTATGCTGTAGATGTTATAAGGTACCTAGATGAAATTTTTCCCAACAGGTGGATTGGTAGACGTGGACCTATGAAATGGTCAGCGAGGTCTCCAGATTTCAATCCTTTGGATTATTTTATGTGGTGCCATCTGAAGAATGTTGTGTATCAAACGAAACCAGCAAATATTCAAGAATTAAAAGAGAGAATTCGGACAACAATAAACAATATTTCTCAAGACACAATAAACAAGGTTCAACAAGAATTTGTACACCGTTTGGATTACTGTCAAATACAGCAAGGGCTGCAGTTCGAACATTTATAAAGTCATGTATTTCATCATATTCTGTCCGCTAGACAATAAGTATTTTTGATAATATTGTTAATTTAACTAATAAAGAATGTTACAGGTTACTTAATGAACACACACAAAACTATTGTATTTTTGCCCACCCTGTACCAATTGGAATCAACATGTGGTACATTTTTGGAATCAGCTCAGCTAGAGTAATCCGAAAATTGAGACAAAATGGGGTTGTTCCATTTAAAAAAAATTACGGTGACGTCATTACTCGAAAGTAATTCACCCTGTATATTAGATTATTATTTTAAAATACGGTAAATTAAAATAAAAAATCGACGTGTTTCAGGATTATTTCTTAAAATGGTCTGTTTAGCTAAAAATGAATTTGTTCCATACTTTACGGACACTCTGTATATATGGGCATGTTCCTTTCAGTGATATTGTTTCTGGTGATTTATTTTACTGCTATGAGAATCCCTGTAAGATCGGTTTGAACTACACTGGCATTACTGCTCACAGTCCATTTTATGTTTAGGTTTAAAGATGTGAAGTATATTTCACATCCTTAGCCTTGTTTTGTTTTAGAACCGTTGTTGGTAGGTATGAATGAAATTCATATTTTTACAAATTTTAATTATATAAATAACACCTTGTACGTAAAAGTTTGTTTAATTATGTCCCGAATTGGTTTTAAGTTGCAATCATGTACAAAATTGATTATTTAATAAATACACTGAGTTACAAAATTTTTAACAAAAAATGTCCCAAGCTGTTTATTTACTAATCCTTACAGTATTTTATATGCTGAAACCAAAAAATTTCTATCGCCCAAGGTTTTATTACATTTCAATTAAAATTTGACATATATAAGGTATATAACGTACGAACTAAATAAGAAATGAATTAATTAAAAGGTAGTTGATGATTTTCTGGAATAATGTGCCTCAGAAACGTCTCGTGTGAGAGTCCAACAGTTTGCTAACATTTACACTCCACCTTTCTTGATACCTTCTTCCAAGCCTGAAATATCTTGCTGCAAGCGTTCATCATCGCTGATATCCCCGAAAAGAAATTCAAATGGGAATGGAGGAAATGAATTTTTAAAGACATGTTACAGCCTAGATTTTTATAAGCAGTTAGCAATTGATTGACAAGAATCTCAAAGTGGTCCTCGGCCCTCGGACGTCTGATTTACGTCCCTAGGACATCCCGCAAAGGTCCCAATGACGTCTTTTTGGGATTTCCCAGAGACGTCCCTAAGATGGGACGGAAACGGGACGTACCAAAAGAGGACGTCCTTCGGACGTCCTTTATGTCCATAAAACGTCCGTGTGCTATGTGGGAATACGCTCACGCTAAATAATGTTATTTACTACTGTCAGTAAAGTTCATAGTTGAGACATTGTATAAAGAACTAGTTTTTTTATACAATGGTTGAGGTAATATCCATCTCTTAGCTGGATCGCTTGGGCCGTCCGCGCTCACCACCTAATCTCCCGCGGCTTACAATATAAATAAACTTAATTATATTGAAGTTTAGCAACGCTCTTCATATCGAATTCTGAAGATCTCCCGCGTAATCTATATTGTGCTAGCAGTCTCTTTTGGCGGCGATAAAAACTAACGAAATATTATTGTATCGCAGATAGAACCAGGGCCGCTGAGAGCCAGGCCGGGCCCCAGGACAATTCTGTAGATCGGACCCAGTAATAAAAAAATCTTTAACCAAAAACTGTTCTTCTTCTACTGAAATAGAATTATAGAATTTTTCCTAAACAAAAAACTATTCTCCCTACTTCTTTGTCGAAACTTAACTTCCCACTCTCATCTTGTGTCGAATTTCTCATGCAGAACAAAAAATGCTGTTGTTGGGCCCCCCTTACAGCACTACCGGGCCACGGGTATTGGTCCCGGCTACCCCCCCTCTAGTCGGCCCTGGATAGAACCCTGTATGTAAATTGTGTACTAAATTTGATTCGGCAGGTAGAGCCATCTCTAGAGTCAGAAACGAGTGAGGAGGTAGGTCCATATAAACCTTAAATTATCTTGCTTTGATAAATACAAAAACTCTTCAGTATCGCTTCTTGGGTAGGTATTCTTTGGTTCTGATCGTTTCCTGTATTTAAATCTTTAAAAACAAATATTAACTATAATCGTTTTATTTCAATGTAAATTTACAAAAGCAGTCCTTTAAATATACAAATAAAAACCTAACGGTGTGTATAATTCTCAAATTAATACCCAATATCAGTGTGACGTAATTTATGTTCCCATAAATAGTTAACTTTTAACAAAAACCATTCGTTGAAATTGACCTAAATTTTTCATTACAATTATAGAAATAAATTAATTGTTCTTAAATACATATAACCTCTATTTTAATTGTTTTTAGAACACAAATTACGTCATTGGTAATATAGCGTATTTTATCTAAAAATATGAGGTAACTAGTTTTAAATTGTATATCAATATTTTCATTAAAAAGCTTACAAATCTTTATAATTTCGTAGTTTTTCTAATTCATTGTACTGTGCTAGACACATCATTTCATTCGTCATTCGTTCAATATAACATTTCGACATTTCATAAAACTGAATTCTAAAAACTACATGGATATTATTTATTACAATTCCAAATGACAAATAAACATATTTTATCTACAACTATTGCATAATATATTCATTAATTACTATTATACAATTTACTAGTTAATGTCATTCGTTACTTACTATTGTGAATTTATTAATAATAACAGTTAGGTTTGGATCAAACCTCAGAATAATTATTAATGTTTACGTATTTGTAAGTTACATAATTATCAGTAATTGTTGATAATGGAATGAGGTAAATTTCTTTGTTTGAAAATTCAAATAACATAAACTATCAGATCTCTATCTGAGAACACAAAGTAATTATTCCCTAATTATTTTATTAAAAATCTTAAAAGGATATAATTACTGTAATTATATGAATACCATTCTTTGTTCATTAAACAATACATTCTTCTAAATTATCTTCGTAATGTTAATAGTTGTAGATAAAATATTTATAGGATGTCCTAACTTTTACTAGGCAGATTGAAACTATTATAATAATTATCAGAAAGAAATGAAATAATAGATGGAAGGTAAAGTCTATTCAGATTTCATTTACGCCGCGTCAAAACAATCTCTCCCATCCAGCAACAGCTCACGCGGCATTTTTTTGCGCTTCTATTGATTAATCGGTCGTTAGTCATTTATACGACGCGCAAATAGTTTTTGTCAGAGTCGAATTCAGTTCAATTTGGATAATTATAAACGGCGTTTTGGTAGCATTCACCGTGTTGGTTAGTTTGGACATTTTGTATGTTTGATTGATTATAATTCATTATATTATAGTTTAGATATACATATATTGTGTTATTTATTTTTGTTTTGTTTTTGTGGTTGTTGTTAGTTTGAATATTTTTTACTCTATTTTATGGAAATTTAATTGACTATATTTTGTAACTGCTGCGTGACACTATGTCCTCCACAGATACAGCAGACCAAGTCCAGAAAAATGTTTTTACTCCTTCTAAAAAGCGACCGAAAAAGGGACATTTGGTCATCCGTACTAAAGAAATGGTTCTTAATATTTATAAGCATTAAATTTTATAGAACCCTGATATGTTGGTACATGATGTTGAAAGGAGAGTTGCTGATAAAACAGGGATGTGCGCTAAAACCGTTTTTAATGTTATGAAGGAGTATAGGCAGATTCAAAAAGAAAGCTACGTTATAAACAAATTAGTAGCTCTGTGGATGATTTTGATAAAAATGCAATAAGGCGCAAAGTACATCAATTCTTCAACGATGATCCATATTTGTCTACTTTTAAGCGAGCTACATTTTACAAGCTTTTCAAAACCCTTAATTTTAAATTTAAAACTCGAGGAAAAAATAGTTTGCTTTTAGACAAAACGAAATTGTTTCGTCCTACGCCACAAAAAATAAAACGGTACAGAGAAGAAAAGCAAAAAATATATTATCTTGATGAGACTTGGATTAACGCAGGCCACACCAAATCAAAAGTATGTTTCGATATTTTATCAACCAGACAAGCCTTTTTGGATGAACTTTTAACTGGTTTTAAAAAACCCATCAGGTATGTGCGTAAAAACAGCTCATTATATGCCATATTGGAAGTGAAGAAGGCTTAGTCTCTAATGCACTTTATGTATTTAAGTTGAAAAATCCGGTGACTACCATGAAGAAATGTGTGGAGAATCGTTCAAAGAGTGGTTTTCAAACACCCTACCAAAATTAGAAGATAACTGCATTATTATTCGAGAAAGCTGGAAAAAATACCTACAACGACGTCTAAAAAAGGTGATATTTAAAAATGGCTATAAGGGAAAAAAATTGAATTCGACTACCAAATGCTTAAGATCCAACTTCTAAAAGTTGGTAAGCAACATAAACATTATGATAGGTATGTAATAGATGAAATGGCTAAGCAGCAACACAACATAATATTGAATTAATCTAGGTTGACGTTAAACAATACGTAGCAGATAAAAACTCAACATTTAAATCTGGAGACATTAAAAGTCTTTTTGAAGAAGTAATATTATTTTCTCCAGAAAAATGGAAAAAGTGTATCGACCATGTTCGCCAAAAATGTGGGAGTTGGATAATATTATAGAGGTTCAGGTAGAACCACTTGTAATTTTGATTAATGAAGATAGCCCTTCAAGTTTAACTAATTTATCCTATTCAGAATAGTGCTAAGTCAAGTAAGGAAGATTGCTATAATACAGGGTACATGGTGTCTAATCTAAATACTAGTAGAACAAGAACAATAAAGAACAAAAGTTGTCAAAAATACAAAAGGTTTCTTTTTAAGATGCACAATTTTAAATCAAATACCAAATTCAAATATTTAAAGTTTTTTTTAATGCTTTTAGTAGATATATATTAGCTATTAAAGAATTTGCAATTATTTGGACACCCTGTATAATATAATTTTATAATATGATTGTTTTAATGCTCTGTATCACAGTAGACATATGTAATGAACTAAATATAATGCAAACATCTCTTTTAAAGTCAAATGCATTTATTAATTTGTATTGCAGGTTAACGCAGTTTGTCGCTCACCTATCTTCGTCCAGAAATCTCACTAAAGTCTGGGAGACCGTGTATGGCATTTATTTTATAGTTTTAGTTTACAAAATATATTTTTATCGTATTAAAAAAATAATTTCACAATTACACTCTTTTATTTTACATTTTTGCAAGACGGAAAAGTAAAATACGGCCCTGCTCAATTTTACCGTCCACCTGCTTCTGTTTACATCAGGCGTAAATTAAATTTGAATAGACTTTAGAATGGCATGTGGGTTATTTGAAGAGCGTATTTTTACAAATATCGAGAACTAACAGTTTTGTTATATAAAGCGTTCTGTATATTTCGACATTTCTGCTCATTCATAATCTCTTTCAGTATACTCGAAGTTCTTGGCCCATAATATCGTTATACCTTTCATAAATTTCATTTAATTCTGATATTATTACAGTTACAGCGTTGCTAATGAAAACTGGTGGATAATATACTATTGGAAAAAGTTACTTTTATATAAGATGAATTTATAAATTTTTTAAAAGTCAAAATATAAATATTATTAAGAAAAGAAACATTATATATCATATTTTATCTTTTATAGTAATCTATCGAATATACGACACGTTTTTATCATAAATTATCTAAAAAAATTAGCTAAGAAAAATGTTTTTATTTAAATTTTACTTTTTATCGTTGAAATATTGTTAAACTTCCTCTTTTTTTAACATTAGATACCTAAAACAACACATTCTATTGTGTTTTGATTGGTAAAAAAATCTCTGCATTTTCTATCCTTAAAAAACCCATAATATATAAATCTATATATTTAATTCACTTAAAATTAAATTATATATCTGACAGTTAAATGCCAGTTGTCAATAAAAACTTGATTATCAATTTGACAAGATTGACAGAAAAATAGATATCATAATCCAAGGCTTAAATTTCAGTCTCATTATGCATCTTCAATTACTAATTTTTGTTAGCGACAACAGACCTTTAACTTTCAAATATACATAATAAAAATTTAAAATGAATGAACAAAAAAAAAATACAAAATGTGTATGTATAAAAATTTGATGCTTATATTTAAGGGGATGGCATTACTTTAAGGCGCTCAAATGCGGCTTTTTCTAAGGCTTCTCTATGATCAGGATGAGCGATATTGATAAGTGCGTGTGCTCTCTGTCTTAAAGATTTTCCAAATAGGTATGCGATACCGTATTCGGTTACGACATAATGGGCGTGCGCTCTGGTTGTTACAACTCCAGCACCTAGAAAAAATATTAAAAATTTATAAACAACTGAAAACAATAGATATTAAAAAAAAAGTTTTACTAAATGTTTAATTGATTATGATTATAAGGCTTTTATCCGTTTATCTTTGTAGTGTCCCGATGATGGCCTAACCGCCAAAAGCGATCAACTTTGATGAATACGAAAGGAAATATGTTCCCTACATACATATTTTAAGTATAAAATCTTTCTCTTATCACCTCATTCTCTTTATGATTTAATAAAAGGTTTATTTATTATTTTTCAAATTCAATGATTATTTGTAAACATTTTGTATATAATTTTCAATTAAAGAATCGAGTATTAAAAATTCATTAATTAAATAAATAATTGAATAAAACTAAATTTTGCTCAATGCCAATCCTTTTTTCTTTCAGTAATTCTCAACTTTTTCTAAGGTTCTATGGTTTATTGCCGTTACACGTTTCACATCGTGTTTAAGTATTCAGCTTTTTTTATTAGAAATAGTAGTGAAAAAATTTTGAAATCTCGTTAAGTGTATCATTGAAAGTGTATCTAACTTCTTGTGCATAAATATTATCGAAATCACACACAGGTATGGTTGATATTTTTTTCCAATATGGTTAACTGTGCTTCATGTTCGAATCCGGTAAGCCGAAATCGGCCAGCCATTTCTTGCGATGGATGTAAAAAGAAGTTCCATTCAGTTTGTATCACAAAAAATTCAGATGTAGTTAATCTGTTAAATACTATACCGAGGCTCTTCTGGAAATGCTCCGATTGTGTTAGTAATTACATATTACTAAATCCCACTGGTATACAAAATTTGGTTGATAATAAGTTAACTGTGCTCTAGATACATTGCATGAGGAAATAAAATCCATTAAATCGGAAGTAGCTAAAATTACTGAGGCAGAACCACCAGAAAACCAACTAAAATACTCAGACGTCTTGAAAGACAAATCGCAGCCAGTCATTATAATACAGCATAAGGATGACAGTCAATCTCACAGTCATACGAAGGCGGATATATTACGCAATATTAATCCATATCAGGAAAGTATACAACTAGCTAAAGTAAAAACTGTTAGAGATGGAGGAATCTTAATTGCATGCAAGAGCAAATCTGACAATGAAAAAGTAAAATCTATTGTACAGCAAAAAATGGCAGAAGGGTACAGCGTTAAAGAAATTGGCGGGGGATTGTAGGCATGGCGGCAAATCTCATATCAACGGAATTGTATGAGTATATTATTTCCTGTTTCCAGTAACATTTTTCTGAGGAGTCTGTCTGTAGAATTGTAAAAGTATTTCCTACAAAAAAGAATAATAATATTTATCAAGCAATTATGCAAGTAGATAGAACGGCATATGAAAGACCATTAAATTCGGGTAATTTGTTTGTTGCGTATGATAGCTGCGTTGTGTATGACGCACTGGAAGTATACAGATGTTTTAAGTGCAACGAATTTAATCGTTCTGCTCAGAGATGTACAAAAAACGTCTCCTGTCCTGTTTGCGGCGAAGCTCACGATCTTAAAGATTGTAAATCAAGCACAAAAAATGCTCCAATTGCGTCAAACTAAAAAATACAGCTCTTGATATTGATCATGCGATATGGGAGGGGCAAAAGTGTTCCGCTTACATTAAGAATTTGAATAAGCTGAAATCTAACGAGTGAAACAAATTAGCAATCACTGACTAGTTCTCGGCTACCCCAGGTAGGCACTTCTCGAGTACAGTCACCTCTTATAAATTTGGAAAATAAAATATCAAAATGTTCGAGGTCTTAGAACAAAAACAACTGAGTTTTTTAGTTCTATATCCCAAACTGAATTCAAACTTATTGCCTTAACAGAAACTTGGCTGGTATCGTCAATAAATAGTTTAGAACTGTTTTCGTCCGATTTTAATGTTTTTAGAAAGGATCGGAATTATGATGTGAGTGATACAACTAGAGGCGGTGGGGTGTTGATCGCGGTACATGAAGAGTTTATATCTACTTACATTAATGTACAAGAGCACTCTTTCCCCGATTTTAATACTGTACTGTATCTTTGCCCAGAGTATTACCTACTGCCGATTTATGTCACAGACGAAAAACTTATAGCCTCGGTTGTGCCAAAAATGTTATTATTTTTTGTTTTGTCAATTTGGCTAGCTGACCCCAACATTGTTTTGAGATTGTAGAATCAGCATAACCGAATTGAGTGCTTTGTTTAATTTCAACATAAAATAAAGTTTTTAATTACTAGACAAAAAGATTGTTATTGTTTTAAATAACTTTAAATGTAATATTAAACACAAATTGGAATTGAATCGAAATTAAAAAGATTGAAATAAAATTATATTTTTGAAAATGGCTTTAATAAAATTTGAGTTGAAATATATTTTTGGAAAGTACTTTATTTTATCTTTAATAAAAATCTAATTATTTTTAAATGCAATTCGTGACAATATATATGTAACCTGTATATCCCACCAAAAACCTCATTTGGTGAATACGAACAATTGTTTGATTCTCTGGAGACATTAGATTTTTTACATGAAGGTAAATTTATAATGATAGGTGATTTTAACATACCTGATTATGTATCTAACATTCAAACTAATCTTAAATTAAATAGCTTAAATAATTTTGCCGACGTTTTAGATTTGACTCAACATAACTTTGTATTCAATGATTACAATAAGCTCTTAGACTTAATGTATTAGAAACATTTTTGTTTGGTTGAAAAATCTTTAGAACCTTTGGTAGAAAAAGATAACTATCATCCGGCTTTATAAATTACTTGTAGAATAAACGAAAAAAAGCAATATAAGAAAAATCTTGAATCCTCTTACAAGAATTGCTACAATTTTCGTAAAGCAAATGTTCCCCTCTTGTATGAAATGTTATCTACTGTGAATTGGGATTTTTTGGAGGTTTTCTATGATGCTGAAGATGCCTGCACGTACTTTTATGGTAAATTATACAATATACTAGATCAGTGTATACCTAAACATACTGTAAGTAATAAAAGAAAATATCCTCCGTGGTTTAATGGTTCTATTATTAAGAAACTTCGGAAAAAGTCTAAAGTTCATCGCTTATATCAGAATGAGAATAATATACAAGCTCTTCAAGAATTTAAGCTCATCAGAGCTGAAATTAAAACTTGTATATCTGAAGCTTATAAAAATTACATAGCAAATCTTGAATCTGAAATCTCAGCAAATTCAATTAAATTTTGGGCATACGTTAATAATAAACAATGCCAAGGTAAAGTTGCAAGCACCATGAGTTTTGAAAATAAAACATTAAATAATCCAACAGAAATAGTAGAAAGCTTTGCGGAATGTTGCTTCCAAGGGTTCAAACATATCATTAAAGGACGTCCAGCCATCTCAGCTTCATATAACTCATTTTTCTGAAACCCAGGTCCAGGATGCTTTAAAAATACATTAAACCTAAACGTACCACAGGACCGGATCATATTCCTGCGTTCATTTTAAAAGATTGTTCAGCAGTATTAGCTCGCCCTCTAACTATTTTGATAAATATCTGTCTTAAATCCAATACAATTCCTTCGATGTGGAAATGTTCTAATCTGTCCAATTTTTAAAAAAGGTGAACGTACTGATATCAAAAATTATAGGCCGATTTCTATCATTTGCAATTTCTGCAAAATTATAGAAATATTACTGGAACATAGTATTTATCAACATGTTTGTAACGCAATTTCAGCTCAGCAACATGGTTTTGTTAAAGGGCGTTACACAGTAACAAATCTTTCTGTGATCACACAGCAAATAGCTGAAAATATTGATAATCGGGTCCAAACTGACGTCATCTATACGGATATGACAAAAGCATTTGGTAGACTTGATCATAATATTATGATACAGAAACTCTGCGCATTTGGTCTTTCTAATAGTTTGATCACACTTTTTCAATCGTATCTCTCTCAAAGAATACAATATGTTCAATTAAATGGATTCAAGTCTAACAAATATTGCGCCACCTCTGGTATACCGCAAGGTTTAAATTTGGGTCCGCTGTTATTTAATATTTTTATCAACGACATTGGTGATGTTATAAGTGTTAATTATTTGCTGTATGCTGATGACTTAAAAATATATTCAGCTATTAAAAATATTTCTGACTGTGACTGGTTGTCGGAAAATTTGAACAAAGTTGTTAAATGGTGCAACAAAAATGGTCTTACACTGAATCCCGTCAAATGTAACGTAATGTCATACACATTAAAAACGCATCCAATTATATTCGATTATGTCCTTGATGGACGTTTGCTTTCTAGACCCAACAATTTTATGGATTTTAACAGCAGCAAATCGTATGTATGGATTCATAGTAAGAGTGGGCCTTGATTTTAAAAACACAGATACTATTAAATCATTGTATTTCTCATTTGTTCGGTCTAAACTCGAATATGCCTCGTTTATTTGGGATCCTTATTATCAAATACACATTTGTCGGATAGAGTCCACACAAAGGCGTTTCCTCAAATACTTAAGTTTTCGGGCAGACCAAATTTATCCACCGATTGGTATTACTCAAAATGCTTTACTGACTAGACACAGATTGACAAGTCTCGACGTAAGACGGAAGTACTTCTCCATAATTACCCTCTACAAAGTTGTTAATTTTAAAATAAATTGTGAAGCTCTTTTACATATGCTTAGTTTTAGAATTCCCCGCGCAACCTCTCGAAACACCGAATCATTTTACTTAGCAACTCCTCGGACAAACGTTATGAAGTTTTCACCTATATACAACATGTGTAATAATTATAATAATATTGGTGAACAGTTGGATATATTTAATTGCAGTGTTAAAAACATAAAAACACATTGTTTAAAATAATTTAGAATTTATTTACTGCAATTTTAGATTAATTATCTATATGCTTTTTGTTAAACTGTTTTCTTTCAAATGTACTCCTGTTTTGTAATTGGCTTTAACCTGTTGAACAATGTATAAATAAATAAATAAATTTTTTTTATTTGTTTTCAC